GTCGCAATACTTCTTGTGGTAGTACCTAATTAATTGAATATTTCCTCTTCAAGGAATTGATACTGACAACTTTCGTACAAATTTAGATCAGAGTTGCCCTGTAATTCATAATTTGGTCAACACGTCACGGATATAGATATATTTTGAACTTAAAACTTTTGAATGTCATTATTTGGTTCGTAAATTATTGTGTTCTTTGTGAACGCGTCATTCTTTTAATTGGGTACACTGCCTTGTTTAACAAGAATGTGCATGTTAACGATTTTGAAGCTGGACCAAGACCCATCAGGTATTAATTCATTCATTACCGAGAGATATGACTCGGGTTTTCGGTTTTCTATTAGTTGTTTTAGCCTGGTTCCGTTGGAAGAGAGAGTTATTTTCTTGCGACAGCATTGACTTCATTGAAGGTAATATTTTACCACTTTTATACTGTTATTTGTACCTACTTTAAATATCGATGCGAATTTGTGGTCGAGATATCATTTTACTTTTTGTGAACTTACTCAATTATTTTTGAGTTAGGAGATTCATTGGGGGTTACGTTCAATTTTCACGTAAAAGTTTTGATGTATGGATTTTAATTTTGTATGGGTAACGAAAGTTTAATTTACATTTAATTGAGTTAGTAAATTGGTTTTGATTGTCGTTGAAATAGTATATTAGAAACAAGTGTATAATCCAGTCTTTAAAGCACGCGCAACGTGCAAGTGCTTTAAAAACCACTTCGCGTTTCTCATAGTATTTTTTATTATACCTGCAATTTACTTTAATATAATAAGGGAAATAAAATGAAATTATATTGACGTTGTACCCGGATACATTTTTAATTAAGTGGGCTGATTACTTGTAATTCGATGATTGTCATGGAAATGTCACTTGACGTTTGCTTATAAAAATCACCGGCTTTGTAAATAAAATCACATCGGTTGAAGATCATTCCTCCATTCAATGGCTTGTTGCAGAAGCAGAAAAAGTTTGTACCGGCAAAATTCAAATGCAAAAACCTATTACAAAGAATATGAAAGGCTGTTGGCGTGGAATCATTTAAAGAAAGTCTTAAATGCATAGTTAATGCTGGCATATATGTAGAAAATATCAAACGTATTTTAAAATCTTCTACCCTTTGGTGCGTTCATTCAAAATTTCATTTAATATTGCAACTAAGTTTGAAGAAAGCGATCTGAAAAATTTTTTTTATTTCAGTCCTAGATTATAAATTCATATGTCATATTTGATGGCCAGCTAGTGACGGTGCTCGAAACTTTATCGAACGATCAGTATACCGCGGACTTTGTACGTGCTCGGTTGCTCAACAAGAGTGTGAAATGCGCGAATAGTGGATTCTTCGGTCCTAATATTGACTCGGCCGCATTCGTCGTAAAAGGGAAGCAGAACAGGAAGAAGAAGTTTAAATGCTACATTTGCGGAAGAGTTGGACACAAGTCGCCGGAGTGCTCTGGCCGAGAAATGTTGCAAAAGACACAAAGAAAAGTGTAAATATAGCAAAGGAAAATGTAAGAGAAAATGAAGGAGTGTTCATGAATCAGTTCACCCGAACATGGCAAGAGTCAAATGCCCTGGTGTCTGAAGAACCATGAGCAATAGAGAGCTCTGGTACATGATCTTTGACCACATCGGAAGAAATGGACACTTGAAGATGGTGGACAACGGTATAGTGAAAGGCTTTGCGCTGAAGAAAGGTGAATTGATGGAACGTGAGATTTGCGAGCCTAGTCTGAAAGAAAATCAGACGAGGAAGCCCTTCACCGAGATGCCCTTATCTCAGAGTATCCGTCCTCTAGAGCTGATCCACAGTGAGGTGTGCAAAACCATGACACCAACGGCGTGGAAAGCGATATTTTGTCTCCTTCGGTTGACTATGTATACTTTTGAAAAAACCGATCAAATGCATGGGAATCATGATACTAATAAATAAATAAATAAATAAATAAATAAACAAATAAATAAATAAATAAACAAATAAATAAATAAATAAATAAAAAACTAGGCAACGGATTCAAGTGATCGTCACCCCGTTTCCGGTTATGTGTCCAAACGTATTGTGCAACAACATCTTGGACCACAAAGAACCAACGTACGATTACACTAATACGAAATGTAGTGCTTTGGCGGATTGTTTGTGTGAAGCGCTATGGATCAGCGAGTACTGAAGATCAGTGAGAAGCATCCTATCGTCGTGTTTGAAGATAACCAGTCAGCAATGGCCAAGGCTGAGTCAGAAGCGCCCTCTACAAAACTGCAGCACACGGATGTGAAGCGGAAGGTCGTCGTTCATTACAAACATAGCGGTGGCCAACCGGCGGATCGACTTAAATCGTTAATTTTTTGTTATTTGCGAGATTTTCAACTAACCTAATGCAAAATTAGACGACTCACTAGTAGGCGGGGGACACTTTTTGAGCCAAAGGAGAAAGGACCAATCTTCAAATCAGCATAAATCTGAAATTTTGAAAAGTGATTTTAAAAAACCGTTCGACAATTTTGTTCCTTAACTCATCAAGTATGTACACAACAAATTTCGTGAAATTCTCTCCACTTGCGTTGTCCGAGTTTTTAAAAACTAATTTCAGATTCGTGATTTTCATGTTCAAAAACCCCCAACTACTAAATTTCGTTGTATCAACCACGTTTAGGGGTGGGTTCGTGGTAAAATTTTTTCGCAAAATCGGAAAGAGCATATCTAAAAATCAACTCAAAGACGTGCCACCAGTCATTCACTCTTATAATGGTTGCCGAGAAAAAAATTAAAGAAGAAGAAGAAGAAGAAAAGAAGAAACCTCCCAACTTTTTTACATACCTGTATTTCATCCCTGTAAAAGGTGCAAGTAACTTTTTCCGCTGTCAAAGTGGCAATTGCATTACAGCATTATGCGATTTTTTATGCATGAGTTAAATCGTCAGTATAATCAACTAGTAGCAAATAGGTAATCAGTGTAATGTTGACTGTACTGGTCGATTTAAAATTTTTTTATCATTACGATTGACGAATGGAACCGTTTACAAAATAATCCCAGATCTTAATCGATCACTTCTTCAAAAATGCCACACCAATTTATTTAGTTGACTTCCAACTTTCCAAGTTTCAAGTAAAATTTAAAAATCATCCCTCATTACTCATGAGACATCCACTACTGCTTGATAAGCGTACCTAACTGAAAAACTGGGCCTTCCTTGTTTCTTTTAAGAATAGCAACTCATTCATGCATCCGGCCATAAAGTTATGTTGGTATCTCAAGCATCATTTGCTTTTATGGAGGGCGTTTTGACGTTTTTGAATACCCACAAGAGTTCACAGATTGGAAAATAGTACATGGAAATCTCCAAAAAAGCTCTATAATATGAGTGTTTTAAACATTCGCGGTGTTATAATAGAAATTGAGATGTCGTGTGCCGAGATGAGCTCAAAACATAGGAGCTAGTCTACTTTGGAATTTTAGTTTGTCAGAACTGGCCTAAAGAATGTACTTAATGCATTTCTTCCAAGTTCATTCATGAGGTAACCAATAGAGCTTAATTATCTAAAAATGCTCAAAATTAAGCTCATACTTGTCAATCCAACTTCAGGAACGTTAAATTCCGGTCGAAATGTAAATATAAAATAATTGACGTTTGTGGCGGTAACCGAAATGTTCAATCCAGAATTTTGTTAATAAATTAGAATATGCCGTACTAAATATTTAAATAATTCATATCAATTAAAACACTTGAACTTTGCAGAGCTACGAAGGTAGAGTAGATAAATAACGTCGCGAACGTTATTGGCGTTCCATCTACTTCTTATTTTTCGTGCCGTTAAATTAAATCTGTGTTGGTTTTAGCGAGCACATTTTCAATTAAATGTCAGAATTAGCAGCTTGTACTGGAATTCATTATTAATAATACACATTTGATGAACTTGATCAGATTAAAACGGTTATGCACATAAATAGATCCCATTCTTGTAGTAACAGTAAACAATCAAACTTTGAGAAAGTATGCATTATAAGTTGGTGGTCAGGAAACATTCACCGTGTCCTGTTATGTGCATAATTCTCAAGTTGCGTTGACATATTATGCTCGGTACCTCTGAAGGGGTGTGGTTTTCTTGGAAATTTACTTGTATTATAATCAAATACCATCAGCGATACATTTAACTTTCAGTTAGTTACCTTCTCCGTGACTGCTTCTTTGCTTTAAATGTTCAAATATTTTAACATCCTACACTTTCAGCGAAATTTTAAGCTCAAATCAAATTTCAAATAGAAATGTGATTCCGTAGTAAAATTTATTAATGTTTAATCTTTACGCAGAGTTTAATTAAAATTTAATTTTCGAGAAGATTTAATTTCAAAGTTTGATTATTTTGCTTTTGAAATTCATTCCTTTAATTGATTAAACATCAACTTCTTTCAGTCAGGTTTGATGAGAATTATATAAATTTAGTACACTGTTTATTTAGTCAGTTAATATCTGTTGAATCTGTTGATCAATATCATACATCAGTGAAATTGCCTCATTAGAAATTGACAAATTATACGACAGGAAAACGTATTGCTAAACATTTTTCATTCGAGATAAATCACGTATTATCTTGTACTAATATTGACATTTCATTTTTTTTGTTTGAAGGAAGAAAAGTTATATTCGTTTATTGTGTTTTGTTTTTTATCGCTGTAGAAACTGATGATTTATTGGTATAAAAAAGTGCTTGATTGGTTTATAACAATCCGAATCCGAAGGTATTTCGTCAATTTTTAATATTCAAATACAAATTTGGTTCTCACGCAGTATTTACAAAAGGATATTTAGATCAACTTACTATACTACATATATAGTAACAATGATTATCCAAAAATAGCGATACATCTAGAATATTATCTATCTTTCAGTCTGAAACGAAAACGAAAACCTTCACTTGTTTTAAATTTTCAATTAAATTATTTAAAATTTCGTCTTTATGATTAACTTCTTTATTTTTTTGAATTTTGATTTGTTTTGCTATTATTTCTTTTTCATTTTCTTCTATTCTGGTTTCCTTCTAATTTCTTGATAATCATTTTTAATGTAATTGGATCATCTGAGGGATTAGTGGAGCTGCTAATCCTCTCCTTCGTACTTTTTGATCAAAGTGACAATTGTATTACAGCATAATATGCGATTTTTTATACATGAGTTAAATCGTTAGTGTAATCAACTAGTAGCAAATAAGTAATCAGTGTAATTTTGACTATTGGTCGATTTAAAATTTTTTATCATTACGATTGGCGAATGGAACCGTTTACAAAATAATCCCAGATCTGAGCCAATCTTCAAAAAATGGAACATCAATGTATTTAGTTCATTTCCAACTTTCTTATCTATTTCTTATCTAATCCCCAAGTGTCGAGAATGGCTTAATGGCAGCTCGACAAGATGACCGTTCTCTATCTGATAAGAGCAAACAGGTACGCTGTATATTTGGTTGGTATGCCTTCAAACTGTAAATGGAGTAGGTCAGCAAAAAACCTTCTATAAGTACTACATAACACACCCATCCCTAAATCCCAATCGCACTTACCTCTAATCCACGAGATCAACTGTCACATTGCAAAAGTCTAAAAAATGCACCAAGGTAACACCGGTAGGCAAAATGGCAGGATACTCACCACGTGTGAAATTTCCAAGTTATATCCTCATAAACGAGATAAGTGTAATTCGAAATATAACTCAATTTTGGAAGTAACAAAAATACAGCTGAATCGTCAAAGATAGAAAAGCTTCAAGCGCTATTCAAAGGAGGCAAATCGACAATCATATACCTCTAAAACAAACCTAAATTGATTTCATTAAACAAAACATGTTATTAAATTTTCAAACTTTACTAACCCTGGTACGATCTCAACCCCGTAGTTCACTTAGGAAAAAATAGTTTGAGTGGCGCCCAAAGTGCCACATAAGTTCAGGGAACCCACTGATGATATCCGTAAGAGTCGGCGGTGCAGGTAACCATTTATCATCTTTTATCTCACGGTACATACTTCGTGCAATAAATAAAAAGGTTACAAGTTGGAACCTTCTATCAAACCGCAGTAGATATTATGGGGGTTCTCCAACAAGTAATAATACCGCGAACCGTGTTCTTCGTAATGGAAAAAATAAATCGTTACCCGTTTTTGAGAACCGTTGCTCGTAACTACTCGCGTGACTGGGCTTTTTTTAATTGCAGACACGTGTTACTCGACTTAAAACGATACGATATGGTTAACTGTCTAGTCATTTCTGAACATTGTAAAGCTGCATTTTTTGTTGATAACACATGCTTGCCTCGCATATCTTATATGTGCGATAAAGAGCAACTCTATTCTTATTTAAAAAAGTATAAGCGCAACGCAATAATTGCATTGTACAGTCACTCATAACGCGGACACATTCTACTGAACTGTAATTATTTCTATAATCAAAACGGAAAAAACACAGATAAACGAATCCAACTGTGCATTTGCTCATGGATTCTGAAATGACGAATAAAAGAAAATAGAATTGAATAAAATTTGCCTCGGAAGCACAGCAATACGTAAACTGTTGGTATGAGATACAAGGACTAAAATTAGATAAGGCGTTTCTAGAACCTCGGGCAACAACTGAAATGGTTATTGAGCAGGATAGCATAGAATAACAACCTTAGATTATATTCGACGCGAATTTTTCAAAAGGATTATGACCAATACAGTTTTTCTTGTATTTTTGACAGAGCATCACGAATTCTGATAAATTAGGATGAAAGCGAAGCAGATAGCCCGAATGTGAAAAAGGCCGAATGAGTTACATTCTAAAACAATGCACGAACTCGAAATTCGGAATTATCGATTTTGGATACCTACGTCGCAGAAAGCAAAGCTTGCGTAAGAAAAACGTGGGATTTTAACTTATTACTAGGATTTTCTTAGTAAATTGTGTGCACTTGACATATAATTACGCTCTACGAATTCCAAATAAGGTTAAAATCGGCCCCTCACTTAAGGGTATAAATGTTATAAAAACATTTGTTGGCAGGACTGGGTAGTTCTTGCATTGAAATTATTTGCGCATTACTTAAACTCTTTAAATCACAGTGCTCTAACGATTTATAAAGCAAGGTTTGCAGTATGAAGCAAGTAACGCTTCAAACATCATAAATTCATAACTAAATTACGACTCACATGAATCAGTTTGTCCACTGGGTATGGAAGCGGGAGCACTCGGTATATTACTAAAATCAGAGACGATTTTTACTTCGACTATAATATATCTTTTGACTTGGCGCGTTATTTTTGTACAATTCGAGTTATTTGTTGCCGCAAGCAGTTTTAAAAGTGAAAGGCTTAGTGCTCCGGTTACTCAGTTACCTACTAGAACGGGTAATTGGTACTCCAGTCACAGAAATTTCTGTATGTTGTTTCGGGCGAGATGTAAATTCACCCTCGAACTAGCAATTCACTATTCCTAGTTCCACTTTCTCTTATTCAAATAAAACAAAATATATAACTTTTAACAGTTTAATTTCGCGTTGAACTTCTTCAGCAACTTTTAGTGGTCAGTTGTGTGTGTGGGGGCAGGGTAAAAACGGGTTAGTCGGAAATATTCACAATGAAATTAAAAGGTTCTGGGAAGGAAGACAGGGTCTTTGTTGAATTCAAGAAAATTCTTAGGAAAGGTAAATATGGGTAAAGCTTGATGGACGGAAAAAGGATTAACTAAAATACATTTTCTCGGAAAATCTGTTTATGATGCGTTGAGATATTTTCTAAAAAAAGTTTGCGTTAACATATAATAACCAAAATGGGTTTACTATATTAACCTCCAAAAATTATGCTTGTTCTACTGCAAGAAGAATAGTATTCAACAGCACAATGTATGTTTTAAAGTACGTATAACACTTTATTTTGTAATGAATAATCGTAAAATGAAGGTACTTGAGAATACGTCCTCTTAATATGAGTACTATTCGTTTTCTTAATAAGCAATTTCAGCTCACAAAACGTTAAAAAGGAGCTTTAAGGTATTACGAATGCGAAGTTGGAAACTGCAATGGCTTGTTTTTTTAGCTGCAACGTATAACAACCCCCACGAGTGTGGTTAAACTGGGAAATAACGTAGAATTATATGAAATTTTGCGTTTCTATGTTATACGAGTTGTACTTTCAGAAGCACAACAGCACTGTGGGATAATAACGTAATATCTGAATATTTTAACGTTGCTATCTAATAGAAATTAGACAGGCAATCCTGTTCATTTAATTACTGTACGTAAATCATTTTTGCCGTTTACGCCTTTCTAAAAGATATCACGGGAATACTCTGTAAAGCTGAATTAAAAATACCACTACAGACAAAACAGGCACTTTCAAGAATATTATTCCATGTAATATTTGAAGATTTCGCACGATGAACTGAAAACATCTTTCCACTACATCGAGGAAAACTCATTACATCTAGTACTTCATTACTAACTGTAGCGGATACATTCAAATTGAAAAAATCTTGCATTCTTTTTAATGCAAATGCAACGCCATGGTCTTCCAAAGTTTGGAATGTTGTTGCAGATTTTAATAATTGATCAGGCTCGCCGTGCAGATAGCCAAATTCTATTAAATATTGTATATTTTTTTCATTTTCACTAACTTCATTATGGACATTCAAAACTATGATAAGAATCACAGTAACATCTTCATTTGATATTTCCTTTTTTACAGACTACAGCCTTTTATTTAATCGCAATGCATTATACAGGGTGTTACATGACCGTATGTAAAAACAAAATTGGGTGATATAGGGGATCAAGACAAGCACTTTTTCCAAATAAACCGAGTCCAACGAGCCACCCCCAAAGAAGAGTTACAAAGATGGGTGGCACGCCTTTGCATAGTCAATAATAATGATAGTTTTATTATAAGATATTTTTTGTTTATAATAATAATGCTTACTAAAATATTACTTAGATGCTATCAGTTCCACATAAATGACTGAAATGTCCATATTATGATACAAACATCATTAATGCTTGAAACCCCTCACCTCTTCTTCTTTTTCTTCTTTTAATAATCTTCCTAGTCAATGTCGACTGGTACTAGTTGTATGTTGGAAGAACGTTATATAATCCATACACAAGAATACCCATTTTTGTATGTTCATCATTCAATATCACAAGCATATCATCATCGATTTCCCGTACTATTCGTTGTAGTAAAGATATTCAGGATTCAATATTCAGGAGGTCTAACAAAGGTAACAAAATATTTATGGTGTAAAACAATTTGAAAATGGCGTACAGTATCGTCTAGAAAACAATAAGAATTAGCTTTACATTTGTTTACGTTTGTAACTAACTAATTTACATACTTACGTCCTTACACGAAGGTATGTAATACCGTTGTTTAAGATAAGCGTGTCCCGTCTGTCGTTGTAATGGAAGCTATGTGCACAAGGTCACAGGAGTGTAAAGCTTTGTAACATTTTGAGTAATTGTTTTTGATGCTTTTAAACGTTGTTAGGTAACATTTAAAAATGGCCAAATTATTGTCAAACTTACTTAGATTTTCATTATGAAACCAGAAACGATTCCTTTTACACTGACTTGATGTTTTTTCGAATAATACCAAAATGTAATATGATTTCTGATTTAGTTATCAAAATTCCCGCTATTTTTCTAGTTTGATTTACAATCTGAGTGCTCATTTTTAGAGGCAGTTTGTATTTTTACTGAAATTACTATTTATATTATTGTGATAAAGCATACCTGATAATAATAATTTTTTGCAATAAAAATATCGGTCGCTATTCGTTTTCACAAACTGAAACGTATCCCCCTCTGTGAAATGTGATTAAATAAAACCATTGAATAAAAACACAGTATTCAATGATAAAACTCAACTGTTCGTCATGCAATTCCTATGGTGTATTTATATAACTATTACCACAGACAGTGTTAATCTGTGCTATGCTATCACTGATGACCCCCTTCTCATAATCATCAGTGGAATCTTACATTACAAGAAATACAAACATCCGTGCTTTAAAATTGCCTGCAATCTCGCAAACAATCTTGAATAGCGTTCTAAAATTAAAACTTGTTTGTACATTACTCACGAGATGACAACAAAACCTTAATTTCTTATTACCCTTTTCATACAGCCCCTCTGAACATCACCCTCTAACTAATAATACAATACAACCTACATAATCTACAACCATACATAAACACAGCCGCGCTTACATTTGCATTGCAATTGTTTTTCCTACTACGCATATCAACAAACCCCCCCCGCACATCAACAAACCCCTACACTACTGGAATTCACTACAAGTTAATGCGCAATTGCATATTGGGAAATGGTTGTCTTTATTAGTCCTAAGGGTCGAGTCTTCTGGTATTGCAGATTAAAATGATTACATGGATATATTACCATGGTGCATTTAATCCATTACAAAATACATTATCTTTCGACATTTGGCACACCTGGCCTGTCCAAGCATTGTACCATGTAGCAGGTGGTCGGTTTAGGCTAACGATTTTTTTGTTAAATTTACAATTTATTGTTAACAATTAAGAAAAAATGTGTAACGCTTCATAATAATAATGACGACTACTCCAAGATAAGATAGTATCATTGTAAGTTTCATATTCAAATACTCTGGAACCAATGTATGGGTCGTTTCTAAAGCTATGCTACAATGTATGTGCTGTACAGCTAAGACGGTGGTAATTGCCTCTTTTCATTGTAAGTCATAATTTGTTTATTTCCAAAACGGACACAATTTATTAACAAGTTACAAGTTACAAGTAAAGAAAATATGCAGAAATATGTATTGGAAGATATGCATGAGTTTCCGTTTAACCTGAGAGGTTGTGCCAACTATTTGGAGCATATTTATTTAGTTAACGGATTAGAGAAATAAATAATATAACAATATAATAATAATTCCAGAAATAAAGTGCTTTAAGATAAGAAACAAGTGTTCACTCAGATGAAAGTCGAAACGTCAGTGTGTAAAATGAAATTCTTCCCCAAACTGCGAAAGTGAATATTGTGATTTTGTATACACCATTTTTGAGATCGCTGAATGGGAGAATCGTTGACCTCGGACGGAAGACGGGGTGACCTCATTCGCCAGCCTACCGGTAAAAAGGTTCAAGACAATTAATTTAAGTTTCTGTTTGCTGTGAAAACCCGTAGTTACCAGGGTACATTTTTTAACATTTATACATTGCGGATTTATTACTGTGATAACTCAAAGTTCTGGGACGAAGCTCGCGCACAATGGGTGTGCTTGAGGAATAAAATAACTGTTAGTAGAAGAATCATTCCAATTTCATTAGAGAAATAAATAAACAAATTATGGTAAATAAATACAGCAGCGGGAATCGGCAGCAACCAGTTGTCGGTGGGATGCTGGCGAAACGGCGGCAGAAAACGGCAGGATTGGACGAATGGACGGACTCAAGCGCCACCAAGCGAAAATCTCGTTCTGGTCAAGGTCGACGGTAGCTACGGACCGGAGAAATTTGAAGAATTCCAGCAGATTGACGGCGGTCACTTCGGCAATTTCAGGAAAACACGCAATAAACCCCCCCCCCCCTACTTTTATAATTAGGAAAACGGAAAGATACGTTACCGCGGCAAAAGCAAATTCAAAAATGTAAAAGCAGAAAGGCACTCAAATTGGCAAAAGATAATTACGGAAAATGGCGGTACTTCCAGAGCTCACTAAAATAAGTTACTTACGGCAAGAATCCAAAATAGCAAAAGATTAAATTTACGGCACGCAAAATGGCAAAAGATCCCCACAAAATCCAGCGTTTACCTTATAAATAAATCCAAATTTTTGTGGAAGTGGAATAGGGCATTTCCAGCTCCTCGCTGTATTCACGCCTAAAACGATTCAAATTAATTCGGTTTTTAATTAATTACCCGTCCTGAAATTATCCGAAAAATATAAGATTGACATCGGACTTCTCGTCTTTTAAGCGCGCTCGTTTTGATATAAGTCTGCACGCCGTCTGCCGGTTTTTCTATAACTCATTAAAACGTCATTCATTATCAATGCTTACCCAATTAAGCGCATTCAATTCTCATTAATCCAATCAACACCTAGGTCTGATTGTAATTTCCCGGCGCAACAACTGTTGTCGTTATCTACACACCGGTATGTCTGCAAAACTGATAACGTGTAAACAACACGATTTGGAACCCGTTTTTTTCTTTTTACATTTTAACATAGACGTTACTTCCGATCAAACCAAAAATGACGTGGATATGGAACACAATCCGAAATTCTCCACTAATAGCTTGGGCACAAAAAGCTTCTAAATAAGAAAAACGCTATAACTCCATAAAACTAAAATTTCCTGATAAAAATGCTACACGATGTTCTTAGCAGACCTAAGGAATAATCGGGATTATTTTCCTCTTTCTTATCTATTGTTCTTTAGGTAGTCTAAAGTGTCTTTTTTGATTTCTGTCTCGGAGTGGAAAATTGTTAATTGAACGTTTAAGTGCTTGCGTCAATTTGGGATTTAAGACTGACGTACTTTTATATGACATTAAAGTGAAATCTTTAAAATTCAACCTTAGGCGATTGTATAAAGTGCCTCGACGCTATAAAATAAATCAATAAATAATATAAAAAGGGAGTTCTCACTTGTTGCTCAGAAAAGCACTTAGGTTGATATTGCTTTTTGAATACACTTTGGATGAAGTAACGAATAAACAAGGTCGGCCTTAATACGCTTTTAATAGCAATAAATTTTCTCGCCCGCGTAATGTAATAAAAAAACGCAGTTGCGTACGGCCGTATACGATTTTATTTCGTCATTCTTGTGTGTTCTGAATTTAAATAAACTGTTTGAAAAGATTCGAAAGGAGTAAATCATAATCATATAACGTGCATTGAAGTAACTGTATCAATCACTCATGCTGTTACACAATCACGAGTTTAGAAGGGCGTAAAAGATCAACCATTCCATTTTCGGCTCGGAGGTTATTGGGTCAAGTATTGTCGAAAACATGCATTTCTAAAAAGTATGTGATTTATGGCGCTCTGTCCTGGAGAAGTTGTCGAACATGAGATGCGTCCCTTTTTTCCAACATTCCCCCCCGAATTCCGATAAATTTGCGAATTTTTTCCTGCACGCTCAAATACCTTGCTTTGACAAGAAGCAATATTTCAGCGTGTAACAAATTGATTAACTTGCAGGCAATGTCACCAGTCACCTTCTTGCGTTGTCGGTTTGGGGCGTCCAAGCAAATGACACGTGTGGCACCACGGTTGAGCGCTTGTTGGGAAACTCGAATGCGTTATTATATCCTTCCAACATCATTTGCCAGCAGCTTATATGGAACAGCTCAATTTCTTATAAGCTTTTACAAGTCGAAGGAAGAAGGATGTAGAGGGGTATAGAATTATATATAACGCAGGTAAATTTAATTTCAGAAAGCTATAATGATCCACTCCTACGCATACCAATTTCTGCAATGTAATTTTTGAATCAGCATGCGTGAGACATACGCTTTTGGCGTCCCTTCGGGAAGTCTTTTTTACCTTTACGGGAGTACAAATAATTTATTATCGTGAATATTTGGTTGCGCTACTTTTTAAAGGTAGGTAGTTATGAAAACAATTTTCCTTTAAGTTACATATCTTCTGGGGGAAAAAGTAGTAGACGTGGTTAATTTGATTAGTAAAACGTTAACGGGATTGACATAAAAGAACCAGATGTCCTTCATATTCGGAACTGCCCATTTTAAAATCAGCCTGGGCTTCTTCGCAAAGCCTATTATAAATCCATTTGGAGAAGTATTCCATTGAACGGGGTATATGGTCACCTGGTCTTTTGCGTGAATCGTTGACAGGTTGTTTCGGCCTGAAAATTAGGCACGCAGTTCCTCCATAACGTTTCAATGCCATACTCCAACCTTAAATTGGCATATATATTATCATTCTCATTCCATAAAAATGTCATTTGTGGTCTGCATAGATATATACAGTGTTGCACATGAGCTATAGCCCTGTATGCAATGTGCTGTATAGAGCATCACCCATTTTTTTAAGAGGACCATTACGACTTCAAAAAAAAATTGGGTGGCCGTTCTAACTCGTGGTAGGTTTTGAGTTATGACATCATATGCCTTAAATACGCGGTTTCATTTAAATCATTCACACTAATCCACAAATATAGCTGTAGACCCAGCAAGTTGCATATCAAATGAGATATGACGCTACATGATGTGGGGTGGCGACTTCTGGGCACCATTCCCGAGTGTGGTGTACGAACGTGGAAATTTTTTCCGATTGTGTCCAAATTGGTGTCCTCGGAAAGATCTTTTAGCTCGCACAACTCTTTCGTGACGGAATTTTGTTTTTTCTCCTAGGGGCGAAATTAACAAGCTTTGGCAAGGCGCGGGTCTTCGAGACGTAGTCGACTTTGGTCGTCCAAAAATTTCTAAAGCTCGAATCGCGATCTCTCTTTCTCGTGTCGCTAGTAGAAGCTTGAGCTATGAGAAGTGCCCCAAAAATTGGGTAATATTTTGTGGAGGGTTTTTTTAGCGAAATCCATTAAGGTGCGAATTGCGGGTGAACGGGTCGTCGGAAGTGGGTACTAATACAGGGAATGTGATAGCCTTCGAAAACATCTTATTGACGGTGGAGTCAAAATTGGCTAATATGGTACTGATCTTCCACACAAAAATGCGCTGGAGTCCCTTCGATCTCACAGGAGAACATTGATAATTTTTTTAAATTCGACGTCGAAGTTGGCTATGACAATCTCATTGTAAACACACAAACATTACCTTACAGCACAGATCTACACATACACAGATTGCTAACCTTATGCATTTTTTGGGAAACAAATTTAGGTATACTTAAAAGCGCCCTCTATTGCGGAGCAGTATAAACATGTATC